AAAATTCAAGAAGAGGGAGGACTCCCAAACGCTTTAAAAAAGCCATTATTAACCTAATTCCAAAACCATATAAAGACACGACCAAGAAAGAAAACTACAGGCTAATATAGCTAATGAACATAGAAGCCTAAATCCTCAACAAAATACTCCCAACCCAGATCCACCAATACTTTGAAAACATTATACTCCTTGGTCAATTGAGATTCATCCCATGGGTGAAAAGATGGTCAAATTTTGCAAATCAGTATATGTAATATACCACATAAACAAAATGAATGACAAAAGTCACATGATTATATCCATAGACACAGAAAAAGCATTTGATAAAGTACAACTCCCATTTCATGATAAAAATGCTCAGCAAAGTAGGAATAGAGGAAGCATACCTCAAATAATAAAGGTCATATATAAGAAACCTAAGCCAACATCAAACTTAATGGGAAAATATTAAAAGCTTTTTCCCCAAGATCAGGTACAAGACAAGCAGGTCCACTTTTCACCCTTTATTCAAAATAGTATTGGAAGTTTTATCCACAATGACCAGAGAAGAAATGAAAGCGCATTCGAATTGGAAAGGAGGAAGTAAAACTGTCATTACTTGCAGATGACATAATAGTGTATATAGCAAACTATATAGGCTTCCCCCAAAAACTACTCAACTTAATAAGTGAATTTGTCCAAACAGCAGGATATAAAGTCAATATACAGAAATGAATGCATTTTTGTACACCAAAAATAAAATATCAAAAACAGAAACTAAGAAAAAATCCCATTTACTATAGCAACAAGAAAAATTAAGTAACAAGGAATAAACTTAACCAAGGAGGTCAAGACCTGTACTCAGAAACTACAGAACACTGGAGAAAGAAAGGCGAACCAAACAAATGGAAGCACATACCATGCTCATGGATTGAAATAATCAATATATTTTAAATGTCCATACAACCCAAAGCATTTATAGATTTAAAGCAATGCCTATTAAAATACCAGTGACACATTTAACAGATTATGAACAAATATTTCAAATATTATATGGAACCAAAAATGACCGCAAATAGCTGCAGCAATATTGAGAAAGAAGAACATACTAGGAGGGATCACAATATGTGATATGAAATTATACTACAAGGCCACAGTAATCAAAACAGTCTGGTGCCAACATAAAAATAGACACATAGATCAATGTAACAGAATAGAAAGCCAAGAAATTAACTCATGTTTTATGTTTGATTAATGTTTGAGTAGGGAGAAGAAACGTAAAATGAAGTAAAATTAGCCTCCTCAAAAAATGATGCTGCAAGATCTGGAATGGTACATGTGAAAGAAAAAGAAAGAAAGAAGAAAAAAAGAAAGAGAGAGAGAAAGAAAGAAGAAAGAAAGAAAGAAAGAAAGAAAGAAAGAAAGAAAGAAAGAAAGAAAGAAAGAAAGAAAGAAACTTGACCACCAACTTATACCATATACCAGAACAAATTTAAAATGGATATAAGGCTTAAACATAAGCCATGACACAACAAAACTAGAGGAAAACATAGGCAGTAAAATTTCAGATATCTCGTGTAGCAGTATTTTTACCTGTATGTTCTCCAGGGCCAGGGAAATGAAGAAAAGAATAAACAAATGGGATTACATCAAATTAACAGCCTCTACACATCTAAAGAGAACATCTTCAAAATGAAAAGGAAGCCAACCATATGGGAAAACATATTTTCCAATAATACCTAGGACAACAATTTGATTCCTAAATATATAAAGAATGTGTATGACTCAGTATCATGAAGACAATCCAATTTAAAAAAATGGGCAAAGGACCTGAACAAGCACTTTTCCAAGGACAACATACAGATTGCCAGAGACATATTGAAAGATGCTCAGCATCACTAACCGTGAGAGAGATGCAAATTAAAACCATAATGAGATGCCACTTCACACTGATTAGAATAGCCAAACAACAAATAACAAACAACAGAATAAATCAACAAGCAACAAGTGCTGGTGAGGATGTGTGGAAAAGAAAACACTAGTGCATTGCTGGTGAGAATGCAGACTGGTGCAGCCTCTGTGGAAAAAAGTATGGGATTTCCTAAAAAAATCAAATATGTAATTGCCTTTTGTTTTTTCTTGTTTTTGTTTTTGTTTTTTTTAAATATTTTATTTATTTATGTTCAGAGAGAGGGGAAGGGAAGGAGAAAGAGAGGGAGAGAAACATCAATGTGTGGTTGCCTCTCATGTGTCCCCCACTGGGAACTGGCCTGCAACGCAGGCATGTGCTCTGACTGGGAATCAAACCACAATTGCATGGTTCGCAGGCCCACGCTCAATCCACAGAGCTGCACCAGCCAGGGCTGTAACTGCCTTTCGACCCAGCCATTCCACTGCTGGGATTAAACTCCAAGAACCCTGAAACATCAATTTAAAAGAACCTATGCACCCCTATGTGCATAGCAACATTATTTACAATAACAACTGCTGGGAACAGACTAAGTGCCCATCAGTAAATGAGTGGATCAAAAAACTGGTACATTTACATAATGGAATACTAGGTAGGCAGCAGAAAGAAGGAACTCCTACCATTTGTGACAGCATGGATGGAACTGGAGAGCATTATGCTAAGTGAAATAAGTCAGGCAGTGAAAGACAAGTACCATATGATCTCACCTATAACAGGAACCTAATGAACAAAAGAAACAAATTAGGAAAAATAGAGCTGGAGGCATGGAAACAAGGAACAAAGTGTCAGGGACCAGAAGGGAGGAGAGAGGAGGATAAAGGAAGAAAGAACAGGAAGGGCTTAAAGAACAGGTATAAATGACCCATGGACATGGACAACAGCGTGGGGATTGAATGTGGGATCAAGGGTTGGGCAGAGCAGGAGAGAGAAATGGGGGAAAACTGGGACACTTCTAATAGAACAATAAAAATATTTAATAAAAAATGATTAAATAAATCACTATAAATTGTACTTATTGAAGAAACACTCAATAAATAAATGCTAACTTATTTTTTAAAAAGAAGTTTTAAATTTAAAATTTTGCCCTTAAAAATTCTCTCAAATTTGTTGATACAAGAATAAAGCTTCTCTCACAATGTTCTTGTGTGAACAACAGAAGGCAATGAGTGGAAGAGTGCTTTAAAATTCTTAAGTGTCATGTACACTTTACCTGTATCCCTCTGTGCTTCCATTTTCTTTTCTCCTTACACCACCAGAGTAGCCGAGACTGAGCAAAAAGCACCGGAAACCTCTCAAGTTAGAGCAAAAGCTGTGGACTGACAGTTTATTTCAATCTGGATATTTATACTTCCATTATCCATCCTCTTTCATGAATATAAAACTAAAGCATGAAATACTATTCAGTTTTTGGACCTATTTTGATGGTAGTCTTTGAAAAACTTTGGAAGAAATGCATAGGCTCCCCCTTTTTGATTTTTTCATTTGGAAACCAAGATATTGTTAGGACAACACATCTCTTTTTAATTTAATTTTATTTATCATGTTATTACAGTTGTCCCAATTTTTCCTCCTTGATGTCTTTATACTAGTGTGTTGAACTCTGCATCCAGTAGATTACTTAATCTCAGTTTTGCTTGGTTCTGTTTCTGGAGTTTTGTTCTGTTCTTTTAGTAGAGCCATGTTTCTTTGTCTCATCACATTGGCAGCCTCTGTGTGTTTGTTTCTATGTATTAGGTAGAGCTGCTAGACTCCCTATCTTGGTAGTGTGGCCTAATATAGTAGGTGTCCTATTGGGTCCAGTGGCACAGCCTTCCCTAGCAATCAAGGTGGATACTAGAGGTGTGCCCTTTGTACTGAGCTGAGTACACCCTCCTCTTGTAGTTAAGCCTTGATTATTGTTGGCAGGTCAATGGGAGGGATTAAACCAGGCCGGACAGCTGCAGTAATTGGCTGTGAGCATTTACCACCAACCTCCACCCTAGGAGGAGGATGAGCTGTGTGGGGGCAGGTTGGAAGTGCACCAACGTGGTCTGTAGCTGTCCACTGGGTATGTTGGTCCTGGGGTTTCCCAAGTGGTGCAGGCAAGGTCCGCCCCCACCTGAGTTTTGCCCAGGACCACCCAGCCTGAGCTATAAAGCAATCTGAGATGGATGCTACTTGTGCTGGGCTTGAAGATTCCCAGGCAAAGCCAAGTTTTGAAGGTAGGCTGGCTGCTGCTAGTTCAGGGCCTTGGGCCACTTAGTGAGAGGTACATGTGCTACGGGCTCACTGAGGCTGGCTGTTGCTTGTTTGAGAGGATTTAGGTGTTGTGAAGCATGAGCCAACATCAGGCATTTAAGGTGGGTCCTTAAGTTGGGCGGAGTGGAATTTCTGGAGATCTCCAAGGTGGGTCAAACAGTGTTAGATATTTTGATGGAATCTCAGATATGGCACCAGCTTGCTGGCTCTGGGCTCTGGGTGGGGAGGGTTTAGAAAAGGGACAATGCCCTCTGCTCGCCTTGATGACCTACACTTCAGTTTTTCCCTGTATACCACTGGTGACTTTCAAGCTGCCAGCCTGGTGCTGGAGCTCAGAGGGAGTGAGTCTGAGAAGTCCCTGTGTGGGTTCTTTAAGAAGGACTGCTTGGAACTCCGGAAGTTTCTTACACCTAATCCCCACTGTGTTTTGCAGCCAGAAGTTGTGGGGACTTATCTTCGTGGCACTGGAACCCTGGGCTGTCAGGGTTGGAGTGGGGTGGGACTCCTCGCTCCTGAGATATCTCTGCCAAATTTTTATCCACCACACTTTGGTGTTTAGAGAATTTAAGATAAATTCTCTAGACCTGGCTGGTGTAGCTTAGTGGATTGAGCATGGGCCTGCAAACCAAAGGTCGTGGTTCGATTCTCAGTCAGGGCACATGCCTGGGCTGCAGGCCAGTTTCCAGCAGGGGATGCACAAGCGGCAACATACATTGATGTTTCTCTCCCTCTCTCCTTCCCTTTCCCTCTAAAAATGAATAAATAAAATCTTTAAAAAAGATAAATTCTCTAAAGTCTGCCCTTTATCTCCTAGCTTTTCAATTATTGGACCAACTGATAGCATGAGCTGTGCTGTCACAACAAGAAACCAAGTGAATTCTGAAGACTGTGACTCCAAATTTTATGGCATTTGCCAGAGAGACATTGTCTGAACAATAAAAGAAAATCTGTGCATTTAAATAAGAAAGTGGAAGAAATCCGTATGTATGGATGGATGATATAAATGGTTGTTCATTTTTTAGAGAAATGCAAATTTATGTTTTTTAATTTGAATATAAAAATTTTAAATATTTTATACAGAAAGAAGACTCAAATGAAAAATATAATTTTTAAAAACAAGAACACATAATTTCATATTGTTTCAATGTCTAAAAAATAAATTTAATCTTCTCCTAATCCTATCTATTCCCCATGTGTGCTCTATTCCTTGAGTTCTAACTCTTTCTGAGCATTGAGAGAGGTAATAAACCAGGCACACACACACAGATATGCCATCTCTTCTTTACCATGGCCCTTTACCCCAAGTTGATTATTTTCAATCAAAAACAAATCAAATTTCAAATGTTAATGTGTTTAGATGCTGTAAGCATAAGATGTCTATTTCAGGTAACATCTAATCTTGTTTTTCATGGGCTTTCACAATTTATTCTCCTTTAATAAAATTTGTTTTAAATATTATATTGAGAACTTTACTGCTTCCTTAGTTTTCTAACTGAAATTTTATAAAAGTAAAGCTTCTTATTTTTCCTTTCATTTATTTAAAACACACTCGTATTTTAAAATAAATGCAGCAGTTTGCTTCTACTATGTAAGTGGGGTAGTTATTTAATTTTAAGAAGTTTAATGTAGTTCCTTCTAAATCATCAGGAATTTATACCCTAGTAACTGTGAAGCAAAGTTTTAAAAGAGGGATGAGTTATTCTACATTTCTAAGCAATTAACATGAATTAACTTGTAATCCCAAGCCAATAAAAATAAAACCTATATTATGAATCAAAATCTAATACATTGACTTGTAATATACAATGGTGTCTAAAAATGATCATTTTCAAGTTTTCTCAGTTACAACATGATGCACAGATGCAGAATGTCTGTACTTGATTACATGCTGACATTTGCCAGGATTACTAAGTCATTTGCAGTCACACAAAATGCCAAGAAAAGCAATGATGGATGGGGCTCATAAAATTCTCTTTTTATCATTTACCACACATTTCACCTGCAGTTAAGGGATTAAGTCTTCATTAAAGATATAAAAGAAGTACTTGTGTGTGTGTGTGTGGCCCTGTAGAGAAGGTACACCCTTTCCCTCCAGATTCTCCATCCTGATTAATGTCTCTCTCTTCGCTTACACTCAGATTCCTTCTTGTATTCATGATTACAATTAGTTAGGAAGGAAAGTAAACTCAAGCTAATGTAACAAATACAGTTTTAATTTTTCAAATGCTGTGCAAAATTTGAATTTTATGACACACTCAGGCATGTGTCATAAGCCCATCCTTCCTTGTCCTTATGTGTAAAATGAAATGTTTACAAAAACTATTGTTTGGCCACTTTTGATGTTATTCTAGTTTATATTCTACAGTCTAAGCTTTGTAATTTTAATGTATAATTCTAATTATGTATTAGCGATTATTATTTGTAGAGTTAGGATCTTTCCTGGTGGGTTTTCCCTTGTTTTTAGGGTAAAGTCACAAACATATTTACACATATAGACCACTTATATTTCTCTAATTTTTTAAGCCCTAAATTTTGGCTGACCTATCAATATAGATCCATTTTAAATTAGTTTTTATAAAAATCATTGCAGGCACAGAGCATCTAATTATTTATTGTTACTTCGTTTGGTCCTGTTTAACAGAAGTTTCCTGACTTGTGCTTATAATGGGCAATTATGTGTCTTGAATTGATGAGACTTTGCGTATAATCATTCATTCATCTATTCAACAATTTTCAGTTCCTCTTGTCACTAAATTGGTTCTGAGCTGATGTGGCCCTGCCTTGGCAACATCTGGGACCTCAAGGCACTTGACTCAGGCAGAAAGAATTAAAAAACTAGCTTGAGTTGGAAGAAAAGCAATTTTTATTTAGGTAGAACTTACGTTTCTGGGACAGGGTCAAAGGTTGAGCCTGGGACTGGGAACCCCCAGAGTGGGGGGTAAATGCACCAGATGGGGTCAGTTCTTGGGATTTTGTGTTTACAAGAGTGAGTTGTTTCTGAACTTGGCGGCAACAAATTCTGATTCTCTCTTCTAGTTGGGAGGAGGGTCTTGTTCCTAAAATGGTTTGCTCTGGAAGGGCCATGGCATTCACCCACCCCATTCCTCTCCTACTTGTGGTACGAGTTTTTGTTATAATGATGCCATTTTTTATTTTTATTTTCTTAAATTGGGTAATGTTAGTTAATGAAATTTTATAGGTTTCAGGTGTGCAATTCTGCAGTCCATCATCTATGTACTGTACTGTGTGTTCACCACCCCAAGTCAGGTCTCCTACATCACCATTTCTCTCCGCTTTACCTTCTTGCTGGTCAATGTTTCCTTCCTCTTGCATCTGTTCATAGCTCGTCCTTGTTGTGGTTGACTTCGGTGACCACCAAAGGAGTTTTTCCTGCCCTAACTGTTGCCTTTTCATCATACCTGGAGTAGGGGGCTCTGATAAGAGAACCTGAGGGCTTACGTGCCTCTGGTGTCCCACCAACTTCCTCATTCTGCTTGTTCGTTTTCCCAAATTCTTTTCATCTTGCCTCACTTTCACAGACCAAGCAGTAAGAAACAACATTAGTCTTTCACTTTATCTTCCAAATCGCCATAGTCATTTTGTAAGGGGAAGGGCATCTGCCAGAAATGGGGGAGGGGCTGGGAAGTGCCGAGGACAGCACCAGTGTATGTGAGTGTATGTTGCCCTGGCAACCAGAGCAAAGCATATATGACTACTTCCACTACCCGGGGGATTCTGAGGGCAGTCTTTAAAAGCAGAGTGTGTGGAAACACCACCCAATTGGCAGTCCCCTCCCCTGATGGCCCAGTCATCCAGCAGAGGCTCAGGTGTCCAGGCTGGCAGGAGAAGGAGATTATGTGGTCCAGGGACATTCTCAGCACCCCTTCACCAGCACTACAGAGCCTGCCGGGAGTGCAGTGGGCACTAGAGAAGGGAAGAGGCCCAGGTCAGTGGGCTCTGAGTACTGTGCAGCTGGGCAGTAAGCCCCGCTGTCCCGGCAGCCTCTGGCGTGCTGCCCACAGGCGCTCCTCCAGCACAGACCCAGTGAGCAGCGGAGCTGCCATTGTTGCTCCACCTGCTACAGCCTGGGTGGGGCCTTGGACCTACCGCACAGACATGTGGGAAGGTGCTTAGCCAGTTGGTGCTTTGTGCCCTAGCCGGCTCTGGAAGCCATGTGGCTAGGTGGCTGGCACAGGGCCTGCAAGACAGTGCAACTGCACATTTGCTGCATTGGTCAGCAGCTGGCCCAGTGGGGTCTGGAAGCTGCCTGGCTAGGAGCACAGCTGCTCTGGTGAGATGACACAAAAGAGACAGGAGCAAGGGCTGGACCAACGGCCAAAGAAGGAGCAGCTCGCACAGGCTCCCAGGGACACCTGGAGCAGACCACGACCAGAAGCATGTTTCAGCCACCTGTATTTTCCCAAGGATGGCACTGTCAAAGGGAAAGGTAACTCTAGGTGTAGACTAGGACCGGTCTGGCCTGGCAGCGGGTGGCAGTGTTATTTTTCCTTGGATATTTTTTAACAAAGGAATGGGTTTTGGGGCAGAAACCTGCCTTTATTTCAAATTGTATGGTAATTAAATAAAACTTTTTTTTCCTTTCTATCAAACTTTGTTTCCAAAGTTTTGCCTGTATGGTGGCAAATGGTGGGACTTCCGCTGGCTGGGTTCATTAACAATTTCCCAATGTTTTCCTCTATTAAAATTGAGGTTTGCTGCAAATCCACTTCATGTCCTCAAATCCCCTGGAACTATTCACTCCATCAGCATTCAGAAAAGCATAATATCCATTCCCAGTAATTTCAAACCTGAAAAAGGAATAAGCAAAATGAGTTTGGAAACCATTTTCAACTGTAATAAAAAATAAAATAAAAAATAGAGTGATTTAAAATCTTTCATACAAAACAGTGAGCTTTATACTCACCCATCGCCATATGCCACACAAAAATATCTGGTACCTTAAAGGACTGTGAGACTGAATGTAGCTATTTATTATTAGTGTAATGTGTAACCTCATTCAGAACAACAGGAAGAAAGATTGATTTGGGGGGCACTGATAATCAGTGATATAATTATATCTTCACATCTATATACATTTACCTACATCCACTTTTATCTATTTACCTATCTATGTACCTACGTATCTATGTATCTATCTGTCTAGAGTTGTTAAATCCATAGATCTCTGGAATTCTTTTAAAAAACAGTTTTCTTAAACTCATAGATACAGAGCATAGACTGATGGTTGACAAGGGGCAAGGGCCCGAGGTGTGGGTAAAAAAGGTTAAAGGGTTAAAATAGGAACTGCTAGCTACACAATAGTCACAGAGCTGTAAATTCTAGCGTAGGGAACATAGTAAGTACTATTGTAATAACTATGTATGGGGCCCCGTGGGTACTGGAAACACGGCGGGCCCACTTAGTAAAAACACGGTTGTCTATCCACTAGGCTGTACATCTAAAACTAATATAGAATACCATTAAAAATAAACTGTAGTTGAGAGCATGAATAAATAAATAAACAAATAATAAATAAAAGCAGTTCCCTGGTCTATTTTTGGCCAGTGTTCCTTTTTGAAAGTAATAAGATTTACATTTATTTGGTGCTTTTGCGGCCTAGTCAGGTAAAAACTAAAAAGACTACCTATAATATTGTTTTTATTAATTTGCTGTGTGGATAACTGAAACTTCCCTCTTTTCCAACAGACATAATTTTTTCTGTGGTACATATTTCAATATTTATTTAATGTTTATCTAGCACTTAATGAACTATTAAGGCAGGACTGTATGTGTGCAGAAGGAAAGTGGTGTGGTTCTTGTAAGTAAATGGTAAGTAAGTGAGGAAACCACATTCACTCAAGAGACTCGTAACTAAGTGAATAATACTGATTTTGATGGACATTTGGGAAGTTAAAAACAACTATATGTTCTCTATTTAAGTCAGAGAGATCTTGTATAAATTTAGGTAGTTAGAAAAGGTATAAGAAATGTTTGTGCTTTGGCTTGAAATTGGCAAAATAGTTGAATTTGAATTAGTAATATGAGTGCTGATTAGCAAAAATTTGACAGTGAAAAAATAAAACAGGAAGCAAATAAAAATAAAATGGAAATTTTCACTGTGTTATTTAGCAAGATAGGAGGAAGATGGGTTGTTCTAAAGTATGTTTCAGTGTGTAAGGGCACATGTCATGGTACAAAATGGTTTAATTTTTTTTCACAACCAGATTAAATCTTCCTTACCACATTTGAAACTCACCAGGAACTGAATGTTTTGCCATTTGTCCATTTCCAAGGCTCTCCTTGTTTTCTGCTCAACCCAATCCAGTGCATAAATGTTCCTGTGTGCTTTTTCAAAAATTCCTTTAAAAAATCACAGCATGTTCTATTTAATAGTTCAGAGCACATTGCTAAACAGGCTTCTCATCCCAGTCAGACTTTAGGATTTATATATTAATTTGCATGCCCCGATGCTTCTACGGCAACAAACAGCACAAATGCTCAGCTTAGTTTTACCTGGAGGACTTTTTCTTTGCTCTCTTACTTCTTACACTCTCTGAGCTGCCCTGATTTGAATCATCTTTAAAGGTAGCCCCAATGTCTCCACTGGGAAATTGATGAGAACATTGGACATCTTATCCTTCTAGTTGTAACATATAAACTATAAGTATGTTTTAGTCACAGAGTTAATGACAAAGACAATAAATGATTATAATATATCCCTCTGGGTGGCAAAATCAGGAGCTAAGCAGTTTTTATAGGAACTAGTACAGCATGATTTTTAAAGGTGACAGAGAACTAATGCTCATATTTGGTTTTGTGCATGGCTTTGCTCTTAAAATCGTGGAAGTGGGGTTTGTTGGCTGGAGGACTTGATTGAAAGTGTAAGTGTTAAAACAGCAAAAGTCAGTGATAAACTACTTTGACTAGATATTAGAATAAAAATGCCATCACTGTTGTGTTTTCTCATAGAATCAGAAATGAAGCTAATTTCTGAATATCATTTATTGCAACACAAGATACTGAGTGATGAGTATAGTCTCTTCTCTGTGGAATCCTTACTATTGGACCACAGGCCTGTCGGCCAGCTTTTCTTTACAAACAAACAAACTTTCTCAGTTATCTTGACGCTTGGAGTCCAAGTCCTCTTTCTTTGCTGTCTCTCACTTATTCCATTCATTTTCTCATTTTCTTCAAATATAGATCTTCTTCATGAATTTTGTTTGCATTCTCATTTCTAAATTCCAAGAGCCATATCTTTTGTATGTTTCAATTTTCCCAGACTATCCTTAAGTGAATACAACTATGAAAGTATTTAAAAAATCTATTTAATAATTTAAGAACATTGAACAAAGACTTTCAGCCATATGAACAATATGCATTGTGATTAAGGACATACCATCACAAGCTAACTTCCTTGCGTTCAAATGCTTGTTCAACAAGCTGTGGCTGTGTGACAATGACTAGGTTACATAACATCTCTGTGCTTCACTTTCCTCGCCTTTAAAAGAGGGATATTTGAATACTTGCTTCATAGGCATTGGTTGAAGATTACACGAGTTTTTATAGTTTCAGTGCTTAAAACATTGTCTGACTTACATAATTGAATACTAACTTTTGCCATTTTTATTCTCTTTTTGTACAAGATTAAGCTCTGAAATGATTGAAAACTTTCCTTTTTCTTACCAGGTCTTGATGTGTGTCAATCTGAGCAAGTTCTGATCTTTGTGACTTGCAAAATGTTTTACTGGCTGTCCAGTTTCTGGTATCATCAGAAAAATAGAAGCACTTATATCTTACTTCAATCCATTTTACCGGACATTTTATATTTTGGGGATTTATTATAGTTTTGGAGTTTCTTGAAGGCAATACCATGATTACTAGAAAAAAAAGAAAGAAATGATCACATTTTTAAAAAGTTAAAATGTGTTCCTACTTATTCTGGTGAATCAGTTTGACTTTCTACTCCCATGGTTTGAGTCCTATAAAATTAACTTTATTCATGCAATGGTGAATGAATTCAATTCCTCTGTCTGCAAGGAAGACATTTAGTGGCCAAGTAGTCTATACTTTAGCCTCTTTTCCTGGCTTCTATTTTAGAAATGGAACCACTAGCCACTCATGGTCTCTATTGGCATCCTACCAAAAAGAATTCATAAAAGTTAGCAATCAAGGAATGGACCTAGAGACCTGAATATAATTTAAACCTCAAGGACTTAGGTAACAAATGATGGCTTCATTTTACCTCGAAGAAATGAGAGGTCATAGACAAAGGAGGTTATAAAAGTTATAGAAGTGAAACTCACCACAAGTTATAACAAGTCATTGAAATATGAGTTAGTGAAACATTTGTCCTACTTCAACAATATTCGGTGCCAAAGAAACTGGGATAATAATGAATATATGTACACCGTTTTGAGAATTTACTCTTTAATTAGGTTTTTAGTTAGGTGTCGAGTAATGAGAATAAGATAAGGTGTCTGCCCTCCAAATGTTTGAATAAGTTAATGTGACAAAGAAAGATCAAAGTAGCTCTGAGTGGTGTGGCTCAGCGTGTTGAGTATCATCCTGTGAACCAAAAGGTCACTGGTTCAATTCCTGGTCAGGGCACATGCCTGGTTTGTGGGCCAGGTCCCCGGATAAGGGCATGTGAGAGGCAATCAATTGATGTTTCTCTCTCACATTGATGTTTCTCTCCTTCTCTTTTTACCTCCCTGCCCCCTCTCCAAAAATAAATAAATACAATCTTCAAAAAAGAGCCAAGTAAATGTTCAAATGTAGGGCTAACTCCAAAGCCTTCTTGCCTCACTCTGCAATGTTTGTTTGTTTGTTTTTATAATACTCATAGTGGATCCAGGCTACTACCCATAGGTAATAAAATATATTGTTTCAACACTTTAAAAAATTAAATTAATCAGTGTATATAAAGACTTCTTATACAGACCCTTCTCTATAAATGTTTAAATATTGATAACACTGAGCTCCTAGGATTCTACAGTGACAGAGGAAACTGTGAGCAAAAAGTATATCTAGTACTCTTGCAAATGACAAAGGAAACAAGAATCAAGAATATAAAGTGTTACTTTAAGTGCTAACTTAAGTGCTAAGTTAAGCAAAGCACATATATGGACAATCAAGTCCATATACTGAAAACTATTAGGCCCTAGCTCAGGAATTAAATTTGAGCTTTGAATTCTTTCCACAAAATGAATCCAGAACACCCAGAAGAAAATAAACATCTTCTTTTTTACAAATCTACTCCAACAGAGAAAATCTTGTAAAATATCACTTACGTTATTATTTTTTTTCTTTCATCAAAATAGGATAGAAATAAATGAACATTTCATATAACCACTATTAGTAATATTACTTACTCTAGCTCCAAAAAATGAGAGTAAAGACATACTGTAATTATAGAGAGAGTGTTGCATGATGGTTAAAATACCAGGAATTACAAAAGAGTCACAATGCTGGTTCTGAAATTTATTTGTGAGAGGTAACTTTTTCACTCTGACCTCTATTTCTCTGTCTGTAAATGGATTTCATAATTATACCTATTCCATAGTCTTGTAAGAATTAAATATAAGTATTAAATGTAATGTTTTTGACATTAGGCTCTTTAACTCACACAAAGTACTCTCAATTAAAAAAGTAGTTATTTATATTATCTTATTATCACCCGAGAATGTATGATTATTTTACTCCAAGATCAAGAACTTCTATAAAGTTGAGAAGATGACTATAAAACCTGTTGAACTGATAGGAACCCGAGGAAAAATCTCTACAAACCTATTTACTGCTCCAGAACTGAGTGACTCCAGATAGACCTTGAGATATAAATGTTTGGGCCTGCTAACCATAAATAACCACAGAAAGTTTATGAATTAATTTACTCACCTATTATTATAAAGGCCACTGGAATAATAATACAAATGATGAGTGTAAAAGTCATCCATTTGCTTTTTGGCTTGCGAGCTGCAAAATAAAACATTTATAATAAAATTGCCAGAGGAACTCAGACTGGATATTTATTATTCATTTATTTTTCCATAATAATCACTCAAGAAACTCTCATTAAAAGCATCTATCTCTTAAAGTAATAAAAGATACAATGGCCTTACAAAGTGCAAAGAAGGTAAGTGGCAATGATTGGTATAGCTGTTCAGAAGGGTGGTATGGGATGGGGGATCACTTAGACTTAGTGGAAGGCTGGAGGAAAGGCAAAGTTATTTCAAAAGGTGGAAACAGTAGGAGTGGGGATTATACTCAAGAAAGTATAAGGGTCATCAAAAGGTCTATGATTGGCTCTGGCTAGTGTGGCTCAGTTGGTTGGAGTATCATCCTGTAACCTAAGCATTGTAGGTTCCACTCCCGGTCAGGGCACATACCTGGGTTCTGGGTCTGGTCCTGGGTCCAGGCATGTCCAATCTCTGGTCCAAGCGCATCCAATCTCTGTTCCAGGAGCATAGGGGAAGCAACCGATTGATGTTTCTCTCTCACATTGATGTTTATCTCTCTCCCTTCCTCTCTCTCTACAAACAATAAAAAAAATGTTCTCCGGTGGGGATAAAAAGTTTTGTTTAAAAAAGGATTATAATCAGAGAAATGGTTATAACAGATACATCAATTTATAAAAACGAGAGATAGGGGAAAAGGGAAAGTCATAAGATCATATGACAGAAGAGTGTAAGTGTAGGGTAAATTGTTTTCTTCATACTGTAGGCAATAAGGGGAAGAAATTTAATGCGTTCAAGCAAGAGGATGTCAATAAAAGCAGTATTTTGTGGTGAGGAGAATGAATTAGAAAGGCGATGGAATTTGGTACTCATGCAACTGTTAGGAGATTAGGAAAAAACAGTAATAATTTTACTACTGGTTAAGATAATTTTTTCTGATACATTATTAACAGATGTAGAAGCAATCTAGGAAGAATGTGTGTGTATAATGTGTACACACACAAACATATTTAAATGTCAGAAGATTTGAAGAAAAAATAAAAAAGAGCAGAGCAGACCTAGTGAGTGAAAGCTGAGAAAATTTACTAGGCTTCGTAGGGGAGGCAAGTCTTTACTTTTACCCATCTTCTTAGATTTCAAGCTGGTATGAACAAAAAACAGATTGACAAGAGTAAAACAGGCCATTAACTGGTGTGGTGGGACACATTACAAGAGAGAAACCTAAAGGAAGAGGACTTCAAAGTGGTGGCTTAGAACTCTGGCTTATATAGCATTTTCAACAAAAATAAACACATAAATCTGTGGAGAAATGACAGGACAAAGAAAAAGCAGTTTCAGGCTTCCAAAGGTGGCAACTCCAGGAATGTAAATTTCCAGGAGGGAACTAAACAGAGTAAAGTAAACTGTCTCTGGGCTGATAAAAGTATGTCTCCAATAAAGGGAGGATTTATATTTTGTCTCGAGGCAGAAAAGGGGCAGGGGAGGGGTAGGGCGAGTTTCTCCTGCATTTACTGTTTGCTAATAACCTTCAGCTCAAAATAATTGCTATGTCAAAAAGCATACATCGGGGTGATATATTCTGGTTTCCTTCCATTTTATGATCACACTAAAAGGGAAAAGGATTCTTATAGAAGAAATATATCTGCAATATTGTCAGACAATTTGATTATATAAAGGAAGGTAACAACAGAAGCAACTTTTATTCCCTTTACTTTTCTTGCATCAACTCCTCACAACCATTAATGCTATGCTATGTTAAATAGTACCAGTGAGCAGTGGTCTATTGTTTGCTCTTAATCTTTAAAAAATCTGCATAAAATTTCACTACTAAACAACATGAAATGCTGTACACATTTAACATAAGACATTACCCATTTAAGGAAGTATTATTTTATTCTTAGTTTCCTAAGAGGGTTTATCTTAGACACTGAATGTCACCAAATTCTTTATATGTATTTATTGAATAATCATGTGGTTTACTTTTTAAGTCTATTAATGACGTAGCACTAGATGGTGGGGCAACACTGGGTATGTAAGACATTTTGGAGGAAGGAGAAAGGAACAGGGTGTTAGGTATGAGAAACGAGAATAGACGTTTACAGACAGTCGAGAGAGAGCAGAAAGCACACGCAGGAAAGTGCTTCCTGGGAAACGCAGAAACAATGAGACACGGTGGGTAACTAGGTAATTTGCCTGAAACCCTCTTGTTTATTACAATTAATTAAGATTAAACTAAAACGACACTCTAAATTCTCCTTGCTGAAGTAGTTTTCTGTGCCTGAATCTCTTCAGCAAGAAAGTAAAGAGGGTCAAAGGCTCTTTCTGAGTCTTTTGTTTCTTAATAAACAGCTTAAAATCAATATCCCCAAAAGCATCATCGGCAGAGCAGAATTGTGTTCCTTTCAACAACATGGTAATTAGGCATTTATGTATCTCAGGAAGTGATCACCCTGATTTTTACATATTTCTAATGGTTTCTCAAAGGGTGGGGGTTGGGTGTCAAAAAGGAGGGAGATTAAGAAGTACAAACCTCCAGTTATAAAATAATAAAGTATAGCACAGAGAATAGCATCGATAACATCATAATAACTATGTATGGTGACAGATGGCTACTAGACTTGTTGCGGTGATCACTTCATAAGGCATATAAATGTTGAATCCGTATGTTGTATACCTGAAAGTAACATAATATTGTATATTGTATATTAACTATCACTTTAAAAATGTTTAAATGATGGTTAAAAAGGGAAAACTTTGATGACAGACTCGCATGCAGGCCGAAATGTCACATGGACAGGATGACAACCACCTGCAAGCCAAGGAGAGCGGCTGGACCCGACCCTTCCTTTCCTAACAGCCCTCACAAGGAGCCAGTCTTACCAACACCTCGGTTTCAGACAACTGGCTTCCAGAACTGTGACACAACAAATAATCAATGTTTAAGCTCCCCGGTTTATCATGCTTTCTTGTGGCAGTTCCAGTAAACTAATACACCAGAGCATTTACAAACTAAGATGAAAGAAAATAGATTTTTCAAAGATATACGATGCCATGTATCTAATAAGAACAACGAAATAAGGAAAATAAATATCACAGATAATGAAGCGGTAATGTCAGAGCAGGCAGTCAGTTATTCACACGGAGAAGGGAGCAGACAAGGCCTGATAACGTTGAGAAGCAGCAGTTTCAGACTCACCCATCGCTCCGGACTACATCCTACTTCGCCAACTTGCCAGGAAAGACAACCTTACAGCCACCCAGGGGGCAACGCAAATTGCTGCTCTGGATTATCTGGGAGAGAGAGAAAAAGTTACCTAAAATACTTCCCGCTGAGCGCATGCACGGTAGAAGCCCAGAAAGATGACTCAGAACTACGAGGCAAGAGCAGTAGGAGCCAAAACCAGACCATGAAAAGGAAGTGGACACTAACCTGGGAAAGTCGGGGAAACAGATCGGAGAGAGGGAGGGCACCAGCACAGACCCAGGACAGGCCAAGAAGGAGATTGGATAGTTGGAAAGAAAGCCTTCTCCTTCCCCCAAACCCAAGGAAATATATGCAGTCTTAGCAAGGACCCGTAGCTGGCCTGCTCTCTGCCTCTGCGAGAGTGTAGTATCTCTTGCCACTTTTCACTCGAATCTTGCCACTATCGCTGACCTCCTCTTTGCCAGTGTCTCTAAACTACTTTTCCTGTGACACCACAGAATCACCACAGCCTCCGGCAACAGCTAATGCTTGTACTCTCCATCTTGCTCCAAAAATTCTGCAAGAGAGGGCATGTGCTCGATTATTTAGATGTATCTTTATTCGTGTCTGCCAGGTGTTAGCTATTTCTACCCATCCTTGGGCTGGGCAGGCCGAGACGGGGAAAACATTCTTCATTACAGGACGGTACAAAACCGTGGCCACCAGCTTCTTTCTTTTCTATAAAAGTACATGAAAAAACACTCATATTGGGATAGAATACACATACCATAAAATTTACAGCAAATGTATTCATATGCACAGCTCATGCCCTGGCTTTGCAGATACAATACTCTACATTTCTCCTAAATCTTTTACTACTTTACAGAAATGCTTCCCCTGCCTCACTTACTTTAGTAGTTTTCCTCTGTAAGTAAATAAGTCAGCATTCTTAATATGCCCTGTGGTTTTTAAAATTTCTTCTCCCTTATTCTCACTCACCCAGTGAAACTTACTGTCATGCCTGCTGCCATGTAGTTCTGGGACGACTGTGGCAAATGTGATAAACCATAGAGAGTATGAACAAATTCATACTTGTTTTGGTAAGAGGTAATACTAGACAGACTTGTTTAGGGAAAGAAAAGAAAAACTGACTCATCCATAAAAGGAGTGTCAAGAAATTAGCAAAATATTTTTATCCTCAGACAAGAAAAAACATGTTACATTGCATATCGAGTGCTAACACGTGGAGTGTAGAATTCATGCTACTATTTCTTGGAATCCTCTCATTTCTCATTTCTATAGAAAGTGTATGCACAAATCCTAAATAATAATTATACACACATATATTCACTTTGTACAGGTCCAGATGAATTTATTGTGTGGCTTTCAGAAAGTTGCCTGAACTCTCTGCAGCTCAGTTTTTTTTCCTGTAATATTGAGAGCAAAACTGTCCTTCCCTTGTAGGAATGTTAATGATCAAATAAGATACTACATGGAAAATGCTTAGAATGATGATGCCTGGTGTTTATGTCAAATGTAGCTCCATCTGCTTGCCTGTCTGTCTATCTATCCACATAATCAGGGACACTATAAAGTGACACTTTAAAATACACTTATGAATTACAGCATATATGTGAACTAAAATAGAACTACACATCCCTCACAGATAATTTTGTGTATGAAGCTGTATTATGTTTTAAACATTTTATATTTTCAATTCAGAAATTAATTAGATCACTGACTCACCTTCCTGATGAGAGTCAGCATTTCTCTCTGCATTTGAATATAGATAAATATGCCCAAATCTGACAGCCAAAACTCTGTGCAGACTGTGTGCTTTGTTCTCACACACATGTACAGAGCCATCCATCCATTTATTTTTGTAAAATTATGTACAAGGAATCATGAACATCCCCTAAGTTTTGCTCAATAACGGTAGAGACCTGGATACTTCCAGTGTGGTTGGTACATGCCTTGTGGACTGTTGGAAAGAGACACTTTTGGAATCAGATGACCTGATACTAATTTTGGGTCTACAATCTGCTCAATCTGCTAGGTTTTTTTTTTTTTTTGACTTCTGGAAAGTCATGAATTCTTTTTATTGAATATTGTTTGTTGCTCTTGTAAAAATGCATAACTTTCCCATTCTATTTGGAAGGCTCTTAGATGACATAAAATGTACATTGGAAATAGAAAGGGCTTTGTAGGTCTTCAGTAAACTTTAGAAACTTTTCTTTCCAACAGGCTCCCTGATAATCTTTCATATGCATATATTAAAGCACCTTGCATTTTGCATTGCAATTACTGTTTTTGTTGTTGTTTGTTTTCCCCCCAAGCCTGACAGAGGCAATTGAATACTAACATTGTGTGTTCCTAGGACCTGGTGGCTTGTCAGAATGCTGTGAATTACTTGGTTACACTTCAAAAATATGGATTATTTGGCACTTCAGTTTCTGAAATAACATCAAATCAGACTCCCCACTCTAACTTCAGGGAAGAATAGTCATAGCATGTCCAGAAACAAAGATGTTTAGGATATTTTCTACATTTCAGTTTCTCAATAAGCATTGATTTAATATATATATCAAAACTTCTTTATAAAACACTATTTTTCTTCAGTAATCCATACATACAATTTTGCTTATACTCCTATCTGTTGAATTTAAATATGTTTAGCCTACCTGTGGTTTTTCTTGGCTGACTTTGTAGGTATTTTGCTCTGTGCTTTATTATTGGTTAGTGGTAATCTGATGCAATGCTATGTGGGTTGGGCTTATACTGGAACAGAAGTCTACCAACCTTTTATCACAAAATACGTCAACAGAAAAACCATATTTCATTAACTGGTAGTGTATATAAAAAACTGGAAATTTGTTTTGCTTTATTTCTTGGAAAATTTTGTTTAAAAAAATTGTCTGTGAAATAAAATGTGTTTAAAATAAAATAAACAAGCAAAAATAGAATGAAGACTGAAGTCATGATATTCTTCTTAGTTTTTCTAGTAATTAATAAAGTAACAATACACTTATGTTAGTCTTCATATATTGACTGTTAAAATTCCTTATTGATAACTGAAGATGAGTGGAAGCACCAATCCTTCGTCTTCTTATCAAATTCTGTACAATTCATATATATGCATATATATATTTTCCAAATGGTCACCTCTATAATTTTAAACGGTACACTGAAAGTCTAATTCTTGTTTTATACAGAAAGCATATCTTGAGTTCCTGCTTAGTTAAAAAAAAAAGACGTTAAGACATTTCCCTTCAATATTCCTAAACTCTTTTTACATATTTTTAATGTCATAGTTATGGAGTTATATTTATCTGTGTGGAACAGAGTATAAAATTATGATAGTTTTAATTATTAACATGAATATTTAAACACAGAAGATGTGACCTCAATTTGTATTTTGGGTTCAGGCCCTGTAAATTTTAAAGAAAAAATATATAATCATATATATATATCAGGACAATAAATAAAATAAATAAATAAAAATGAAATTATATATATGCTCACATAGAGGTGTATACATTTTCATTATTAAAATGTTAGCATATGCACATCATTTTGTACCACATATTTAACAATGTACCTTAAAGATTTCTCATATAACACATATCTAAGAGTTACAAGTTCTTCTGTATGTGTAAAATATTTTACCTGCCTGTTAGCAAGAATTCACTTGCTTTATGCCAATATAGTTTTACCTTTCCTAAAATTTCATATTAATGGGATAATACATAGTGTTTGTGTCTGGCTTATTTCACTTTTAACAATGGTTTTGAAATTCATCCAAGTTGTGCATATAAGTACAAGTGCACTCTATTTTCTTACTGAGTAGTATTTTCATTTTTTATTTATATCTCATATTATCTACCAATCTGATGATACTTCTATTTTCTGTGTTTGACTATTATGAATCTGCTTTGCACATTTGATAACAAGTCTTTCCATGGCCATATGTTTTATTTCTCTTGGATAAATTCTCAGAAATGGGATTTCTGCATCATGAGGCAAGTGTCTATTCATATTGTCAAACTGGATTCCCAAATGGGCATATGATTTCCAGTTCCCATCAGCAATGTGGCAGAGGTTCAGATGTGCCACAACTCTACAGCACTTTGTTAGACTCTTCTTTAGCTATTTCAATAGAAGTATGCTGATCTCTCATACAGTTTTAGTTTACATTTCTCTAATGACTAATTGTGTTATGTGTCTTTTATGTTCTTATTTGCCATTTAGATATCTCCTTTGACAAAATCTTTAATACTTTGCCTGTTTTTTAACTGGGTTATGAATCTCTTATTTAGTTGTATGAGGTTATTATGTATTTTAGATACAAATACCTCATCCTATATATGTTTTTACAAATATTGTCTTTCAGCCTGTGGCTTAACTTCTAATTTTTCTCACAGCTCATGTAGAATGATAAAAATATTTTATTTTAACAAAGCCAAATTGGCCAGTTTGATCATAATGCAAAGTAAAAAAAAAAGCCCTAATTAATCTCTGACTATTTCTCCCAAGGCCTCCTTTTCAAATCCTAAATGAGTTACATACCTACTCGAGGCTGAGTAGACCATTAATGCTCACTTCATGCTTCATCTTTTTTTTTTTATCTCCTTTAGGCAGACTTAACTGAATTTTGGATAAGTAGAGGTATCTTTCCCTCCATCTTTTTACCCTCCAATCTGTTCCACTGAGGCATGCTAATTTATTATCAGTCATGATCAAGAGCACCATTAACCCATAGGCTTGGTGCACCAACTGATGTGGTCTAGTGTAAGTCGTAAAAACATATGCACACATTCATCTCTTGGTTCTTTACCATATATAGAGTGTCTAACGTGTGCTGGACATTGTTCTGGGTGCCTGAGAGATACTCATTGACAAAACAGAAGTCCTTGTCCTCATTCTAGAAAGATTCGAACCTCAGGTTAGTTTCTTGGTTTGTCAGTTATTTAAATGAAGATAAAAATCATTCAAAATTTTATTGGTGAACTCAAAACATATGTTTGAAAGGAGGGACAATGTATATGAATTTATAATACATAAAAAGGTAAATTTTCTTGAATCACTTTATTTCTTCTATGGGGAAACTCTTTATTAAGGACAAGGGCCTTTTATGCTGCATATGTACTCTTTTGCATCACCACAATCGGCACTACTTATGCCTTTCTTAAAAATGAAGGCACACTCTCCACTTCCTTCAATGGTGAACCTGGAACAAAACAAAGAGATTTTTTTACTGAACCTCATGAAAAATAACTAGGCGCAGCCTAAAATACATAGTGTAAACTCTGGTGACCATGTTTCTAAATGAGCAAAGTGGAGAGAATAGAGGGAGTGGAATGAGTTGCTTCTCTCATCAGTCTTCGAACTCTAACTCGGACTGCGGCGCTGGGAAGGAATGAGCACTGGGGAACTTGACTGCCTCCACACCTGAGACAGTGTTGGAACTCTGTGCTGTTTTAAACTTTGTAAATCATCTTGTTGACTATATTCTTCTCTTTATACTTTCAAATAAAAGTAATAAATTAATTTTGCTGTTCAAAGGTTATATAGAGGGAGAGTATAACTGACATTTCATTGACCACCCATCACACACTAACGATATCAGTCTATGTTAAGGCTGAAACAGGTGTCCACCCATCCACTCTTTGCAACCATCACCTTAGTAAAATACGTATTTTGTGCTTGAGTGCCCATGATGCACATAAATACTTATAAATGAAATATCTAGAAAGAATTCCTACGCTCATATTTCAAGTCACATATAAACATTAGAAATTAAATATTCAAAATGAGAAAAAGAAAAATAGAATGGTGAATCATGAATTTCTGGTTGTATGGTAATTAAAATGTTTTCAGTGCTTCTTTTTTGGGGAAATTTGTACCACTTGATACAGTTTTTTCACTTCAAAATTTTATGCTTCCTGTTTTAAAATTGTATGTGTATTTCTGTGCCTATGCATTCTTTAGTGCCAACTGAGAGCTCACTAGCTCTTATTGACTGATTTATGACCCCCCAAAT